TCTCTTCTGTCTTCATTTCGTCCGTCTCATCTTTCTCACCCGAACCACCACCCACCCATTCCCACGATTCCTGAAAGCAGGCTGAAGAGGGCCTTCCGCCTTACCTTCCGGCGTAGTCCGGAGGGACTGCCCACCCACCAGCATTAGTGGCTGGTGGGAATGAAATACCAAAAAGTTTTTTTTTTCTAGTTTTAGTGAAATTATGTCAGGATAGGAAAGAGTGGAGGGGCGTGTCCAACCAGTCTTAGGACTAAGGACTTTATGATGATGAATAGTACATTGACTATGTCATTAATACTATTAGTATTCCATAAAACGATTAAATAAAGTACGATTTTGATGGTTTAACATTTAAATTGCTTATGTTAATGTTTTCTGAACTTAGGCACCTAATAGTTCTTGCTATAGTTTTTTTTTATTATAAGTTGTAATATGTGCAAAAATCAATTTGAAACAAAGGAATTGTACCAGCAGGTAATTAAAATTTTGAATTTGCAGGTTTATGAAAGGCGTGAACACATTAAATATTGAAATATAATTTTAATGACGAATGAACTGCCAAGATTTCCTCTTTAAAGTTTATTACTTTCAAGTAGCTCCTACCTGAAATTTTTGTCAGACAATATAAATTTTATGGTTAATTTTATTACGCTTTCCGGTGTTTACTTATTTGCAGGGCTAATTTTGGCGAATAGATTAATTATATGTACGTTTAGTATAATCATCAATTGTTTTGCGTTCTTGCATGTGCCTGGAATGTTTTCTANAAAGTTATTTATTTATTTAAAAATCAGAGCCGAAGTTTCGTCCAAGTTGTTGGACTTTCTCAAGGCCAGTATTTATATCTTTAACTAACAGAAAAATAGGGGATGAACGGTTAATAGAATTTTCTACTGTTATAGTAAAATTTTTGCCAACAATTTTTTTTTTTTCGACAGTTGCCATACTTTGTCGGGTAGATTTTGTCGCCTGGTCCATTTTATTCTTGTCACAGTCGGTGTAACTTTTTCGTGTTTTCGTCTTGGCGAACGCACAAATTCAGAAATAATCGAAGGTGGAGGATATATTGTCTCTAGCCCACGTCCCGATTTAGATAGAGAGGAGTAGCTCGTACATATTCCGAGCGACCGACGACTAATCGACACTTGAATAGATTCCAAGTGGTCCGTTACAAATAACTAGCTTTCTTTTAAAGGAAGTACCTACTTACCATCAACTGCGCGCATACCTTAAACCTTACAAATCCATTCAATTTTAAAAAACTCCCCTTATAAACTGGTTAAAAATGACCCAAAAGGTTCTGGTAAGGATACCAGTTTTTATAAAATATAATTTTTTTTCTTTATTATTCTCAATTAACCGGCTCAAATTAGTTCTGTTGGTACATATATGGGGGTTAGGTTAGGTATATTTCGTTTACTTTCTGTAGCGATGTGACTTTCAGTTTGACCGGCGCAAAGTAGAAAAGAACAGCACTAGGCCAGAAAAGGAAGGAGGCAACTCTCTTAACCGGTGAGGAGCGTATAATCCGTACAGTACTGCACGGAAAAATTGACCGTTTTATCCACTACAATTTCATTGCTCAAATGTGCTGTTATTGGTACCATTTACTACTGAAAATATCAACGAGATGTTTATTTATATTTGAAGACATATTAAAGG